GTCTGTTGGTTCTTCCTCCTCCTTCCGCCCCACTATGCAGTCTCACTGTGTCGCCCAGGCTGGAGTACAATGGTGAGATCTTGGCTCACTGCAACCTCCACCTCCCGGGTTCAAGCAATTCTCCTGCCTCGGCCTCCAGAGTAGCTGGGATTAGAGGTACCCACCACCAAACCTGGATAATTTTTACATTTTTAGTAGAAATGGGGTTTCACCAGGCTGGTCTCAGACTCCTGATCTTAGGTGATATGCCCGACTCAGCCTCCCAAAGTGCTGGGATTACAGGCATGAGCCACTGTGCCCAGCTGTTTGTTGGTTCTTTGACTATGTTAAGTAGAGATTTTATCCCCCCAATGTCTAGCATAGTGCTTCCTATATAGCAATAGGTCCAAAATTAATGTCAAGCTTACCCTATTTATTTATTCATGCACTGTGATTTGATGAGCAAATCTTCCCACAGAAGTACAATTCAGTTAGCCCATTATTAAGGCTTCCTCCCCCGCCTCCTTTGAGCGGGACCCAGATGCACATTGGACTCACTGGGAGCGGTTTTAAAGAAAAGAAAACCCAGGCTTCACCCCAGAACAATAAAATCAGAAGCTCTGCAGGTACCATTTAAGCATCAGGACTTTTTAAAGCATTCCAGGAGATTACAATGTGCAACCCAAATTAAGAACAACTGCATTTTTATTAGAGACAGGGTTTCATCATGTTGGCCAGGATGATCTCAATCTCTTGACCCCGTGATCCATCCCCCCAGCCTCCCAAAGTGATGGGATTACAGGTTTAGCTGGGCATGGTGGCAGGCGGGCGCCTGTAGTCCCGGCTACTCCGGAGGCTGAGGCAGGAGAATAGCTTGAACCCGGAAAGCGGAGGTTGCAGTGAGCAGAGATCGCACCACTGCACTCCAGCCTGGAGACAGCGAGACTCCATCTCAAAAAAAAAAAGAACTACCGCAGATTAAACCAATTTCACAGAAGAGGAAAGTGAGGCCCTAAGCAGTTACTTGATTACCTAATTACATAAAGCTAATTCCTAAGAAAGGCAGGACTGCTTTAAAGCCTCAGAAAACCTGTCCACTGTTCTTTCATTTGTATTACACTTCAGGAAGCATAAATCTAGGCTAGTTAGGAGACTTTTTTTTAACCCCAGGGAGGTCTTTATTCGGTGAAGTGATTAATAACTGCAAAACAGACTCAATTAAAAATGTAAAGTCAGCAGCATTGTCCCTTCCATTTCAGGATGTCTCCTGAAAATTCCTACTCAGAATTGTTCTGAGAGGTTTGAAAATGGGGGTAGTCTAAGCATCCAAGAGCTGAAATACAAAAGCCCATTTTAATCAACAACAAAAACAATCTCCTAGCAGACACTGAGCTAATCCTTGAAATTCCTCCTAGTTCTAACATTTTATGAGTTATGATGTAACTTAAATGTCTTGTCCACCATGTCTTAGTTCCTTCCACACATTGAGGCAGGAAAATAGGGTCTGGAAGCAGGGACTGAAGGACTCCTCCTGGGTCCACAAGGGATGGGGTTTCAAAAGCAGGAGTTTCCCGGCTCCACCCCTCAATCCAAGTAAAGTTCTTTGTCTAGGTTTCCCACCCATGGGCTAGGTAGAAAAATCCAGGTGGGCTTCTTTGTTCAAAAGGCCCACCAAAGGCTCTGGGAGGAGGGGGCTCTGTTGTGGCCCCAGCAGCCAATCCGTATCAGAGTCAAAGATCAATCACTCCAGAGGAAGTTTGAAAGAACTCCTCTCATTGGATCGAACAAGAAGGAAAAGGCAGTAACTCCAGGGTTAAAACTTCGCTACTCCTTACCTATATGAATATCCTTCTCCAGACTCCCCTCCCACAACAGGTGGGAGCTCTCTCTTTCTCTGCCTAATAAATCCCTTTTCTGCAAAATTCTTTGGGTGTACGATATTTATTCTAACAGTAAGCTCACCACGGCTCCAGGGCCCCTTTCTCCATTTTTCAGGGTAAGAGAGGCCAAGGACCTTATTGGACAGGAGGGAACTGAGTATGCAGCCCCGCCCCCTTACAGGACCATAAGGCCAATTCACACTTCACCTATGACAGGAAATATGCTCTCCATAGGGCATATGCCAAGTAAATGACCTTGTAACTTTACTTCACCCTCTTCATTTACATAGGGCATATATCAAGTAACCAGTGGAAACCCCTAGAGGGTATTTAAACCCCCACAAATTCTGTAAGGAGGCCCTTGAGCCCGTATGCTCCACCCACTCCCTCACTGGAGTGTATTTTCATTTCCAGTAAATATCTGCTTTTGTTGCTTCATTCTTTCTTTGCTCTATGAGTTTTGTCCAATTCTTTGCTAAAGATGCCAAGAACCTGGACACCTTCCACCAGTAACAACATCAGCTCCATGAATAAATGCACAAACAAATAGAGGCAGACATAGAAGCCAGAAGTAGTGAAAGTCAGGTCACAGTGTTATTTCTGATGAATGACCCCTAAATTGCTACAATCAGGATAGGTATCCTGACGTGTCTACTTCCAAGCCCTCATCTAATAGTAGAAGGTTAGTTACCAACTCTGTTCTCTTTCCCATGTTCCCTTTCCTCCACCTCTGCTTCAATTCAGACCCTCTCATCTCTCACCTGGAACTCTACAACATAACAAATAAACTTCCTGTGGCCAGACTCTCCCTTTCAATCCACTCTGCAGTCTAGAGTATCTTTCTAGAATACAATTACTGGCATGTGACTTAGCATAAACAACAGAGCTTTGGAATCCTTCTGCCTCTCACCACATGCATCCCACGCTGTGGCCACATCAACCATTGCATGCCTGGAGTGCCCTTCCTGCCACATCCACCTAAGCCCCAGTTTCTTTTAAGATGCCATGCAAATGACACTTTCTCCATGACAATTTCTTCCACCCTACAAGGAGGTAGGCCCCTCCCTTCTCTCTGTTTCCCAAGTACTACACTGCTTTTAAGCCCTTTTTACAATCATATTTTAACTATCAGCTCTTATCTGTCTCCCCAGGGAGGCTCTTCAATCCCATCAAGTATTTATTAAGCACCCTCAGCACAGGCTGCCCTCTGTGAATTGGGAATACAGTAGTGAGCAAAACAAAATCTCTCCTCCCATACAGCTCATAGTCTAGCGTAAGAAATTGACAAAATATATTTTATAGGAAATGTCAGGAAGTAATAAGAAGAAAAATAAAGACAGGAAACATGGATGCTATTGTAAAGACAATGGCTGAAGAAGTCCTCTCTCATTCGGTGGTATCTGAACACAAGCCTGACAAAAGTAAGGAAAAGAGCTATGGAGAGAATTAGAAAAGGACATCCAGGGAGATGTGTGATACAGGCAGAGGGACCTGGAAGTGTGAATGTCTCCTTGGAAACTTATTCACCTTTTTATGTCCCCATTGCTAACCAAAGTCTGGCAAAAGTCCAATCATTATTGGGTATATTATTGCTGAGCTCATGGCCTGGTAGAGATATCACTCCTTTTCACCACTAGTGGTTCTCTTCTGCCTAGAGGAAAAGTACCCAAACTACAAAGAGCCCTATTACTCTGCTGAGAATGCACTAAAAGTAGTCTTTTAAGGCCAGCTCAAATGCCTCTCCTGAAGAATCCCTTCCATCTGTATTCTTATTGAATCTAGTTTTTACTTTCTCTGTGGCACATACCCTGTAATGCTTTATCTTGCAAGTAATTGTGTACAGACATTATCTTCCTTCAAACTCTTGAGAATCCAGATTATGACCTTTTTACACAATTTTGTTCATGAATTATCTAGCTCAGGCACTTGTGCATAAGGACATCCCTCAACTGAATAACCGAATAATCACTACCAAGATTAGCAAAATATTTAGAAAAGCTGCATGCCCACCAAAGACTTTAGGAGGGTAGGGAAGGAGAGTACGCCTCTCCTTCCATGAAGGCTTACTAGTAGTTGTCACAGTAAAGGTTTTCATAATCCTTTTCTAATGCTGTCTCAGGAGTCTCTTTACCATTTTTCCTAAGTAGGGAGGTTAGTCAAGTTCTCAAGGGAATTTCTGAAGCCTAAATAGATACTTCAGGCCAGTGTAGTGGCTCACGCCTGTAATCCCAGCACTTTGGGAGGCCGAGGAGGGCGGATCACTTGAGGTCAGGAGTTCAAGACCGGTCTGGCTAACAAAAACCCATTCCTACTAAAAATACAAGATTAGCCGGATGCAGTGGCGGGCGCGTGTAATCTCAGCTACTCGGGAGGCTGAGGCAAGAGAATCGCTTGAACCCAGGAGGCGGGGGTTCCACTGCACTCCAGCCTGGGAGTGAGACTGTCTCACCAAAAAACAAAAAAACAAAACCTAAATAGCTGCTTCAATAGCTAGGAAGCGTGGTGAATGGAGACAGTGACCTGGTGTTAACAGGGCGGGTGATTTACGTGGCTGGCGGGGCCACACCCAGTCATTATTCACTTTTCCCGTCCTCACCAGGTTCTCCCTCTTTCCTTAGTAGAGCTTTTCTACCAACTTTCTTTACTCTCCTCCAAGGACAGACTAACCAAAAAAAAAAAAAAAAAAAAAAAAAAAAGAGGGTGGATACAGAATTTTATTTTTTAGAAGAAAAGACAAACCATATTAACAGCTCCCATCCCTACGATATAAAGTGCCAACAGTTACGAGAATAGATGGTGAACAGTCGGTCCTCAGCTTCAATCCTGCGGCAATGACTAGTGCCTAAACAAATCATAAAGTCACCGGATTCTGAAAATCACCTACTGTAAGAGAATACCCTTCTAACTCACTGCAAACAGTCCCAGAAGTGAAGACTAAGTAAAATCTGGAAATTCGACTTAAAAAGATTCTGAAGGGAGCAGGACCAGGGGGAGGTACCAAGCCATCTCCAAACGCCCCTCAACCCAGAGGCGCTTTAATAAATCTCTACCCCCGACTTCCCCCTACCTTCTCCACGTGTCCCTTTAACTCTTCTCTACCCTCACCACCCCTCCCAAGTCTTCGATGGCTTCCTCGGTTACCTGCTCCCTAAGTCTCGAAGCGTGGGCAAAACTCTGCAGTGGAAGTGCCGGCCGGCAAGGAAGGGGTGCTGGCAGAGGACGCCGGCGCTCCAGAGCCGCGGGTTCCACCGCGGGGGAAGCGCGCACCGCCCTCCATGCGGTCCCAGAACTGCAGCCTGAGCTCTGCAAACTAGCCCCGCCCACTCCCTCGGCAGGCCCCACCCCCTCGGCACGGAGCTTTTTTGCCCTTGGCAGGCGCCGTAGTCACCGTACAAGCCGTTAGACCCCACACTTTCCGCGCCAGCTGGGAGTGCGCACCGCGGAAAGCTGGTGGGTGGGCGGCGGTCCTAGCGCTTCCCATCCTCGCTCCGGGTCTCTGCTGTCACACGCCTGGGGAGGGGAAACAGTCGCCTCCTGAGTCTCCATTCTGCTGCAGTGGCCCCTGCGTTAATTCTCCCTCGAGCTGCGGCTGGAGAGGCTGCGGTAGCTCCTGTGCCTCGGTGCAGGTGGCGCAGCCTCTGCTGGCTGCCGGCTTGGCGGGAGGGTGCGGGAGCGCACGCCCCAGGCAGCGTCGGTCTGCGTCCTTCCTCCTGCTAGTCCTATCCCCGCATTCCCCGCCCCCGCCTCGCTCGGCGCCTCCTCTCAGGCTGCAGCAGACCGCTCAACACAGCCGCAGCGCCTGGTGTCTGGACAGCCTGTGGGAGGCACGCACGCCCACACTCACCCTGCCTGGCTGCACCCCTGCCCAGCATGTCGGCTCTCGAGTGGTACGCCCACAAGTCTCTAGGCGATGGTATCTTCTGGATTCAAGAACGCTTCTATGAGTCAGGCAACCGCGCCAACATCTGGCTGGTGCGCGGCTCCGAGCAGGACGTGGTGATTGATACAGGCCTGGGGCTGCGCAGCCTCCCGGAGTACCTGTACTCCTCCGGCCTCTTGCAGGACCGCGGGGCCAAAGAGGACGCGGCGCACCGGCCGCTGCTTGCCGTGGCCACCCACGTGCACTTCGACCACTCCGGCGGCCTCTACCAGTTCGACCGGGTGGCCGTGCACCACGCCGAGGCCGAGGCTTTGGCTCGCGGGGACAACTTTGAGACTGTGACCTGGCTCTCCGATAGCGAGGTGGTGCGGGCGCCCAGCCCCGGCTGGATGGCCAGACAGTTCCGGGTACAGGCGGTGCAGCCCAGCCTCATCCTGCAGGATGGTAATGGGCCCCCGCGGGCGCGCGCTCTCGTTAAGGGAGGGTGTTGGGAAGAGACTGTCCGAGTGCCGCATGTTGCAGACCTGCGTGGCCATAAAGGGGATTTATTTTGGCACCTCCTAGAACCACTTCTCTTTCACCCTTCTCTGAGTAAAAACCCACTTGACCAGAGCCAAGGCCGTCGCAGCCTTCCCTGCCAGAGATCAGCTCTGGCACGGTGTAGCGATTCTGAGTACTCCTTTGGAAGCCGGCACCACCCCCTCCCTAGCCAGTTTCCTGCGTCGGCAATGGTAGTAACACTGCAGAGACTTGTGACTGACTAGGGATTTCCCATTCTTTCCCTAAGCACCTGCCCGACATTTCCAGGCGCTTAAGTAGTGAGTAGACTTTTATGATTTGTGCTTTTGAGAACTGCAGACTTCATCAGCTTGGTCACCACCGGGCATGGGCAGTTTCCACCTGTAGCCTTAGAAAGTCATCAGACCAATGATTCCAATCCGCTAATGCGATTGGAAACCTTTCAGATAGGTTTGTGTTCTTGATGTTGCCTCACGAGAGAAAATGCTTAATAGTAATCATAAACATAGAATATGTCTGTCTTGCTTTATGACAGATATCTGGTCTGGTTGAAAGCAAAGCCTGAGAAAGATTAATAAGGAGGTAATTTTCGGTGGAGGTAAATTATGTGGACTAATGCATAGGTAACCATGGTCCTGTTTGGCTCTGTGAAAGACAGGTATGGAATCAGAGAAATTCATGGAGTGGAAATAGATAGATTAGGGCCTCAGCCCATTCTCCCTAGGCAGGCACTTGAATAATTGAGCTAATTTGCCATAACAGCAATATTTGGTATATTAATTTTCTATTTTTTTTTTTAGAATACTTTTGATTCCATTTTATCCTCACAACACACTTAAAGTGAGGCCACTGACTCCCCAGTTAAATGGCTTGCCTGAGCCAGATCATGGTAAAAGCTAGGATATGAATCCAGGCATAATAGATCAAAGCATGCAGAACGTACATAAATCCTACCTCATAAATATATGATGATAATTCTATGTAGAATGTGAAAGGCCCCTTTCCTGTAGCGTGAGACCGTTTTAATTGCCAATTTGGTTTTTTAAAACGTGCCTCTGTGTAAGGTAGAAAAATCCAGTTGCTGCAGTATAATGAGGCTCACTTTATGACCAAACAATATGGCAAATAATGAAATATTTTACAAAAATCAGTTTATTTCACATATGAGATCTTACTTGAGATATTTTTAAAATTCCAATATTGCATTGCAGTATTTATCGGTGCTAACAAAAATTGCAAGATTCTGTACCTTACCCCCACCCAACAAGTCTTCATTAAAGTTTTAAATCTAAATTAAAAAAAAAAAAAAACTGGTTTAGATGGGAGTCTTACATTATCTGACAATATGTGATGAAAGTACATGTACATTAAATTTTAATTTACATTAAAGTTACACCTAATTACTGTATTTCTTGATAAAAATGGATACTTTTAGAGGTAATATTGCTATGCCGTTGATGAGTATACAGACTAAATTCTGATACCCAGACCAAAAATGTTAACATTAGTATTAAAATATATTTAAATTGTTTAAAAGAATAAATTACTTTTGATTCTGTGCCAGCAATGGGAGATTGATTTATAGATGAGGAAAGAATCCATGCAGGCCTGAGTATCATGTGCGAGGTCACATAGCCCATCTGGGAAAGAGCTGGGACTAGAAGCCAGGGTTCCAGTTGATGGTAGAATTCTAACATTTTTGGAGCTGAAAGGGGCCTGCAAACCACTTGTGTGGTGCTTTAAGCCTTTAAAGGGGTGAAAAGAAAGCTTAATGTTTACCAGACACTTGGAAGGTGATAGTACTGTGTTATCAAAGTTGTTTTTCATTAGGATCTGGATGCCCCACTCTCTCAAGTAATGTCTGATTTCCTCTCTTCTCAAGACTATTAATTTCCTGTATCTTCTGAATGATGTGGCCTGCTAACTTGCTGTTAACATAATCCAGATGGCTGGGAGGATACATAAAGTATTTGTATTAAAAAATTTATATACAGTTACACACATAAACAGCATAAAGTCTTCATTGCTTTGGTAGAATGCAAGGAGCTGAAGTCATTTATTACATTTCCTTTAATGAATTGATGATCACTTGTCATGGAGAAGCCTAAATCTGTGCACTGTACCCCTAACCCAAAAGCCAACTTGTAAATGAGGGAAAGGGAGAAAATAGCCATATCATCCAGTGCATTATCCTTGATGGAAAAACAACTCACCCTACTAATAGCGAAATGGTTATCTTTCTCTAAGATAGCAGTAGACCTTAGATTGGCATAGCACATACCTGAGTGAGCATAACATCATTTTGCCCATTTTTCAATACAGTCAAGTGATAACGAAGTTCTGGCATTGTGATCCCTGTTACATACATGTTTAAACCATATGCACAGTGTCACCAAGATGTTGTCTCGTAGGAATGGTTTCAGGTGGACTTAAGTTGTTTGTGGAGGTCAAAACAGGTTGTAGGAAGGCGGCGGATTGAACAGGCATATCTAATTTGGCTCCCTCCCGAAGCACCGTTAATGTACTGTAAAGGAACCTCAATTTAAGTTTTAATCCCTGTTGGCTGGGGGAACTGTTTTCGATGCTAGAAAGAAGATGTGGTGACCAAGTTAGCAGTTTTATACTATGCCAGCAATGGGAAATTAAGAGCCAATTCAATTTGCACCGCAGGAACCTTAAAAAACACGGGAATTAGCAATAGGTAGTACCTCAGTGGTGGCAAAGAAGAGTAAGTAGAGTTTCTTGAAAACCTTTTAAGAAGCTCTTAGAGCTCTAGTGAATGCCCCTCCCTCTCTCATCCAATTAGTTTATTCTTTTGGGATAGTAAAACAAAGGGGTTTCTTGATTGAAGGATGCCAAATTATTATTGAGCTTAAGGATTCAGTATGGAAAACGAGAGAGAGAGAGAGTGTGTGTGTGTGCGCGCGCGCGTGTGTGTCCTACTAGTTTCCCAGAAGGATGAGTACCAGGCCTTTCCCACCCAGGTAGGAAATTAGAAAAATGTTATCTAGAGAATCTGCCTCTTAAAGGAAAGACTACGATACCAACGTAGAGGAATCCCCAAGAAACCCTGTCCTCTTTCTCTACCGTGAAGCCTCGGTCACCAGGCCCCATGCGTGTGCTGCAGGCACCCTTTTTGTCCCCTGTTCTTTTTAAAATTGATACCTAATAGTTGTACTTAGATATTCTGATAATACATAAAATGCAATGATCAAATCAGGGTATTTAGCATAGCCATCACCTCAAACATTTATCAATTCTTTGTGTTGGATACATTCCAAATCTTCTAGCTGTTTTGAAACATACAGTAATTGCTTGTTAACGCTATAGCCTGTCAAAACACTGGAACTTACGTATTTTATCTAACTGTATTTTGGTACCCATTAACCTGTTTATTCCCTTTTCCCCTCTCCCCTTTCCAGCCTCTGGTAACCACCATACTAGCCCTTCCTCCCACATATGAGTGAAAACATGAGATATTTGTCATTCTGTACCTGGCTTATTTCACTTATTGTCCTCCAGATCCATCCATGTTGCTGTGTATGACAAGATTTCATTATTTTTTATGGGTGAATAATTCCACTGTGTATATTGTTCCACATTTTATTTATCCATTTATTTGTTGCTGGCCACTTAGGTTGATTCCACATCTTGGCTATTGTGAATATTGCTACAATAAACATAGGAATGCTTTAGTATTCTGATTTCCTTTTGAGGGAATGTGTTCTCTTTCCGGGTCCACGAGGGGGCGTAGTTTTTAGGACAAGAATTTCCCAGTGCCATGTCCCCCTCCCATCTCTCTCCATCTGGGAGATTTAACGGTTTATGTTTGAATTTAGCGGGCTTGGGAAGAAACTAAAAGTCAATTACTCCAGTGGAAGTTCTGAGGAACTCCTTTCATCGGCCCACGGTCTTGGAGAAGGTGGGGGTTCCTCCCAGGATAAAAGTCCGTGTCCACACACCTCGCCAGATTTCCCCTCTGGAATCCCCTTCCACACTCTTCATGGAAGTCTTTCTCGTCTTCTTTTATTCTCTTTTCTCTACTTAAATAAAATCATCTTTCTACAACACTTCTTGGGTCCGATATTTACTTTTACAAGCGTATGGCGAACCTGCAGGGTCCCATCGCTTATTCTTAAATTGGACACCAAGAACCCACAGCATTCTCTAGGGGGAGCTGCGCCTCGCCAGCACCTAGGAAAAATCCCAGTTACACTTTCTTTTGGATGTATATACCCAGCAGTGGGATTGCTGGGTCCTTTGGTCATTCTATTTTCAGTTTGTTAAGGAACCTCCGTACTACTTTCTGTAGTTGCTGTACTAATTGACATCCCCGCTAACAGTATTCCCTTTTCTGCACTTCCTTGTCAGCATTGTCTTTTTGACAAAAGGCATTTTTATTCATACCCACCCCCGACTCTTAAATAGGTAACCAAGCATGAAATATCTGAGAAAATCCTCTAACATGAGATCAAATATTAAACAGCATGAAGTAATTTGAGAGTGGGGGACTATAATCAATATCATCAAGGGGATAAGACAAGTTATTGCCTTCAAGATATCTTAGAGTCAATAAGGATGCTTTAACAATAAATAGCAGAACAAATTCACCAAAAAAAGCTCCTGGAATTTAAAACCTCAGAAATTACGTAATAGTGGGTCTGGAAGATAAAGTTGAAAAACTTACTAAAGAGCAGTAAGGGAAAATGGAAACTAGGAGAGAAAGAGACTAAAGTAGGAGAACCAGTTGGAAAATCCAGTCTTGGACTAATAGATTCAGAGATAGGACAGAGAAGGTAAAATAAATAGTAGAGTTGCTGGGCACAGTGGCTCATGTCTCTAATCTCAACGTTTTGGGAGGCCAAGGAGGGTGGATCACCTGAGGTCAGGCGTTCAATACCAGCCTGGCCAACATAGTGAAACCT